GCATAGTGGATTCTGGGGTCAGATAGACCTGTTTTACCTTTATCCCCACCATTTTCTGGTGACTCTGCACAAGCCATTTCACCGTCTAAACTTCCGTTCCCTTGTCTATAACATACAGAGAGTAACTCTACTCATCTCATCGGGTCATAAGGCATGTGAAGTGCTTACTATTGGACCTATCACACAGCAAGTGCTCAGCAAAAAACCATCACCAGTCTGGGAGACAGAAAATGAGGATTTTCTTTGGCTTCCCCATTCACTAGGGTTATCATTATTCCATAGTGTGTGACGACACACTGAGATAATGGGTGATGGCCCATGGAGTTAATAAGTGCTGTCCAAACTTAAGATTTCAGTATTGGTTTTACTTCTCTTACCGTTTTCTACAGGTTTTAGGAACATATAACTTAAACTATGCAAGCAGAGTATGTGCTTTGAGGGCATTTAACAAAATGGCTTTGCCATTTTACAGATATGGTGAAAATGGTTTAGGCCCATTATAAACAGTTTAGACAATATCAAAAAAGCACAGAGAAAGTAAAACCCTAAATCCCACCAGCCGGGACTTACCATGGTTGGCATGTTGACTGTGGCCTTCTCGTATTTGCTGCCTTTGTGGTGCCCAGGGCAAGACAGTGCAGGCTTCAGCTGTTTAATAAATGTCTGCTGACCTCAACCAGATCGACTCGTCAACAGTGGCATGCTCCAGTTGTGTCCCTCTTGGCCAACCTCTGACAGTTTCATTAACCCCATTAAATCATGCAGGTGCCTTTACACCTCTTGGGCTTGTTAACCTCTGCTCGGCTCTGGTAAGTTAAAACCTGGCTGGAAAGTTGGATGTGCCTTGTTAACCTCCAATAAACCCTATTAAATTTCCTACCTAGCGTCTTAGTGACTTCTAGGAATCCCTCATTAAAGTTTAGTAAATCCAGCTGATGGGGACAAAGGTCACTGTTGTGGCTGCACTGCTTCAAAGCATGACACTCCTGAATTCTTTGACAGTGGGGTTGACAAGTGTCCCTAGCACCAGATGACCCAATCCTGGGAGTGCCTCAGGCTCTCATTATTACTTGGGCAAGTCTCTCAGCCTCTCTGCATTTATACCTCTGTCAATTGGAGTTAATAACAGTTCCTACTTTATGATGATTACAGTGAGAAGCAAAATGTAACACTAGTAGCATGTTGTCTGGTATGCATGCTGTACTTATAGCTATTATTATTTCTGGATATGAAAGATCCTTATAAACTAAAAAACTTGTTACATAAATGGAAGCTTTAATTCAGACATTAAATGTGTCCTTCTACATGCCAGGCAGTGAGCTAGGAACTGTAGATTATTTTCATTCTGGTTTTATGCAGACTGAAGATCATCCATTTGAACTATGTGACTGAATAGTATCGTTGTGTCAGTGCCTGTCACTGTTTGCTCAGGCTCTAACACTTCTGAGCTGTTTGAGGTTGAACATAACTACTTTCCCACCCTGGGTCTTACGGGCTTGGAGTCAGTGCTCCCTACACCTGGATGTGCATACAGATTCCCCAGGAGATTTTGTAAAAATAGTTTCCCGAGACCCCCTTGAGATTCTCCCTGGGAACTTTTAACCAGTATCCAGATGAGGTTGTAGCTGTTGGATTGGGAAACCTCTGGACCCAATTAGTGCTTTTCAACTTTTTGGGCTTGAGTCTTACCTGGGGAAATTAAATTTGTACTGCTGGAATTCAGCCTCTGAGCCTTTCATTCTGAGACTCTGGGATGGGGGCCCAGGAAGTGGCATTGTAAGAGTTCTTAGGAGATTCTGATGGGGGTGGCGGTAGCAAGTGCCACACTTCCAAAAATGCTGGACCTCAGATGATTTGATATTCAATGTTCTAAAGGTCTACTTTGAAAAAAGCGTGCCTGGTTTCCAGTGAAACTTCTGTTCTAATGGTACATTAAGATGTGGGTTCATCATGCCATCACAATCGATGCCTGTGGCTCCTGAAAGGTCGACTTCAGCAGTGGGCAGCAGCCAGTTTGGGAGAAGCTTGGGGACAAAGCACCTCTGAGGTTCCGTGTGAGGGGCTAGAGGACAGCAGGTAGCCCTCACTGTTTAGATATAAAAGAATGAGAGGTCAGCAGGCAGAGGAGTGGTCGGAACTACCTAGGTTATACCTCAAATGAAGAGGCAACATGCTAAGAAAACTGGAGCTCCCTCTGCTGTCTGAAGGAAATCAACCCAGGGATCCTCTAAATCAGCGGTTCTCAACCTGTGGGTCGCGTTCCCTTTGGGGGTCGAACGACCCTTTCACAGGGGTCGCCGGGTACTCGTATGTGGGCGTATCTGCATGTGGGCCTGGAGACGGATAGAGGAGCGGTGTCTCGGTTCCTAAGATCATCAAAAATATGTGTTTTCCCATGATCTTAGGCGACCCCTGTGAAAGGTTGAGAACCGCTGCTCTAAATGATGACACCCTTCAGCAACAATCCATCATTAATCCCGGGAAAGCCCTGCCCTCCTCACCCCCAAATGGCTTCTGAAAAGTCACCCTCCACACTATTGACAAGGGAGTGGAATGGGGGAGGGGTGGCAAGGGCACATTGTACATTTTAGTGCTGTTTATAGTTTTAGAGCCAGCATATATTACTTGTAGTTAATATGATACAAAAATATTGCATTTCTTCCCTTTCATTCTGCTGATGTACTGAAGTGGCACTAGTGACAGATTTGAAGTAAAAGACCTAAGTCAGAGGCTTGGCTGGACAAGGCGCTTCATCCCATGGGGTCTCCCGGGCCTCCACAATAAAGCTCAGTCAGATAACCTCATCTTGTCTGGGGACTGTGTTAAAATGTAGATTCTGATTCAGTAGATGGATAGGCGGGTGAGGGGGCAGAGATTTCGAACACGCACTCAGATGATGGACCAATTTGAAATAGCCTCTACTGTAGTTAAAGAAACACCAGTCCCACCCTGTTAAAAATAAATGTTTGAGACATTTAAACATTGGGGTATTTACAGAAAGGTCCCTATTTCCAGCTCCTCTTGTCAAACTGCAAGAACTGGCCACACAGAGTTCCCACATGGCAGCAACAGGCTGGAGCTGAGTAGCGGCTGGCCTTAGGAGGTACCTGAGTTTTCCAGTTTGCAGCATGTCCACTGCAATCATTTCAATTTGCAATTCTCCATCTGTTTTACTTACTGCTCTCATTTTATAGATGGATAACTGAAGACTCAGGGAGTGAAGCGATTTCCCCAGGGTGTCTGCTACGCTATGCAGCATTTGGGCTCCAGGCTCAGACCATCAGACCCCAGTCACTCTCTTTCCATGTGGGACAGGGCTAGAACCAGGGCCCGATCTTCTGTGATCTAAACTCACTCGGTGTGCACTGGGACTGAACATGGAGTGAAGGAGCTAGTTCAAGGACTTGGAGCCAGGAGGGAAGACCGCTGTCATCAATCTCTGTACTACACAACCAGGGGCTGAATGAGAAAGTGAAATCGCCTGAATTCCACGTGGACATTCAAAGAGAACAGAGTGTCTCTTGTTACTCATTCAGATCGTTTATTAAGAGCAAAAGTCGGGCCGTCCCATCTGTGTGATACTGCAACATGAAAAGTCACATACATTACTAAAGAGACCCCACAGAATTGAGAGCCTTTCAACAGTACAGAGCCATAGATTACAAAATTAAAATACAAATGATCCTCCAAGTTTGGCAGGAAACATGTACAATATGAGGAGGCCTGGAATGGAAGGGCACTTGCTTTTCAATAAGGCAGTTACAAAATGGAAAAAAACAAAAAAGTAAATCCACACCCCCAAAACACTCTGATGGGCATAACAGATAATAGAAATGTGGAACAGGGGTCCTACACAGCCATCATTGGCAAAGATGTGTTTGCTAAGTGAAAGTAACCGAAAGGTTTGTGTTTTAAGATGCAAGCTAGATGAAATAACTGATTGTAGACATTTCTACCTTAAGAAAAGGTCCCACCTTGCCCCAGTTTGGATTCCACGTGAAAACATCAGATCACCTTTCATCTTCCTAACCATAAACTTGGAAACAGTCTATAATAAAATGAAAGGAATAAAAAGGCACCCCTAAAGCACCATGCTTCCCAGGGCATGATTGAGAGCTCACCTGTCCTTCAGGTCAACTGCCTAGCTCAGTAATGGGCTGGGAGGCCATGAATCACAAGGCTGCAGAACTAACTGTGTCTGTCCAAGTCGGGCCAACTGAATCACACACGCTCCACAGACCACCGGAAAGGCAGGAGGCTGACCAACCGATTGCAGAGCAAGGCCATTTTAAGACTTTAGATTCTGGATAACACTACGTCTTCCTCCAGGACTTGGAACCCTGGTCTTAAATTATAGGCTAGTTCTGTTTACCCCTCCCAGTCATTTTGCAAAACGCAAATGACTGCTTTTCTAATCATTTTCTAACTCAACCTTGAGTTCTGCAGGTTGGTCTTGGGAAACTTTGTTCAGTTGCAAGGTCTTAAGAATCTGAGGGCAGCTCACTTCAGATTGGATTAGAGTCGTGCTGCAAGGCAGACAGGGACAAGAACACTGGACAGGTCCCCAAAGTCACAGGTTAGCCCAGGTAATGCCAGGTGACTTGGGCATGTCTTTTTGAATTTGTTTCCCCATCTCTAAAAATGAACTGGAAATAGTAACTTTATAGGACTTTCCAGCTTGAAAATATGGCACTTCTCTGAACTGAGAGATGTGGCTCCCCCACTCCCCCAAGTTCCTAAGCTCTGTTTTCTCAGTAAAAACAGTCTATGAAGTACTTGCAGGAATCGTAAGGTATAAGCCCTCAGGAGCTATGGAAACTTTAAACTCCACACAGAGCTGTATTTAAAATTTTTCTAGCTCAAGTTCTTCCTAAGTGATATAAGCATTAGTTTTTGTGGAACAAGCACAGAACTAAGGCCTCCTCTGTCTTATGGTTTTTAGCAGGCCAACAGCATCCCTGCCTCCCCTGACCCTCTCTATCAACTTCAGCAAGAACCAGGCTGAAGGGGTTTCCTCAATATTCTCCAACAAGGGAATAAATGCACCAGTACTCAGGGGGGTGGGCAATCAGGACACCAGAGTGTCCACTTGCTAGCTGCTCCTTATTAAAAGACAACTAACTGCTATGCCCGGGGCAGTGCCAGCAATTAGGTCCTTGGCCAAGATGAGCAACTTGTTCCGTATGGCCCCCACTGGGCAGAGGCTCGGATGAAAATGACAGAGAACACAGAAAAGCCAGAGGTTTACAAAGATAGAACCAGATGCCCCCAGGAGGTAGTGAGTTCTCTGTCCTCAGAGGTGTTCAAGCCCAGATTGCTCAAACCCTTGGGGGGGATGGATGGCTGGAGGCAGAATGTCAGCACCTATGGGGAGACTGGATGGATGAGTTAAAGGCCCTTTCCCAACTTGTGGATCTTGTTGTCATAATGACTGAGAGCCTTCCGATGATTTCCATGAAGCAACCACTCTGGGTCGGGACAGCCGATTTCAATAGGCGAGGCTCCCAGAGTAAGCTTCCTCTCCTGCCATCCCCCTTGTACCAGGCAGTTGTCCTGTAGGATATTAACCAAAAATGCCCACATCATAAACAGCTGAAATGCCAAGGTTGGATGTAACATTCCAGCTGTAAACAATTATTCATATCTGTTCTCTGGAAGGCTAGCAGTGAATATTTAGCTATGACAGGAACATCTAACAGCTTGGCGGCTAACACATAAGTGAAATTCCTCATTTTATAACACCAGTCTTGAATCCTTTGGTTTCCATCTTTCATAGGATTCCGTTATGATCTTATTCATGCCAACCTAAGAGTTTGTTCATTGAAACAAGAAGTTTGTCCGTTTGTTTTTTAAAAACCTTAAAATGAAGCAACACGAATGGCAGGATATTGACATTTTCCTATGACATCCTTCAGGGCATATGAGAAAACCATACCAGGCCGGAACTGAGGCAGGAGCTGTACTCTAAGAAGACAGTGCCAGTTCTATTTCAAATTCCAGTTTTGCCCAGGAGCACCGAGAGGAGAGAAGGCAATGTTGCAACGTTACAGGTGGAGAGAAGCGAAGAGTCCTTGGCAGGTGGCGTAAAAATGCAGGCAGCCAAGATGAATACTGCTTTCCCCAAACCCCACCGCTCCCTGAAGCCAGACCTAGTTGCTTTGGAGGGCCTGGCCATTTCTACCAGGCAGGCAGAAGTCTCCTGCCCTCAGATCAAGCCATGGGAAGCTGCAGAAGAGACTAAGGCAAGTGGTTTAGTGGTTTGATGAAAGAACAGATTTCTGTACACAAGAGAAATGTAAGTTCATATAGCTTTGTCTTTTCTCTCACCTGACGAGTTTTCAAAGGTAGAAAAGAGACCCACAACCTCCACTTCCCAAAGGTAACTCCCTTTAGAGGACAGACGATGGCACGTGAGTCAAGTGCGCACAGCATCTGGCTGAAGGTGGCAAGTTTCCCCAGGCTTCACTTTGGAACAAAAGCATTCTTACAGACACACTTGAACAGATGGGTCCTAACATCATATTCTCATACAGAAATGTACTGCTGTCTCTCTCAACTCGGGAAACAGATTTACTGTTAGAAAACCGGTGACATGACCTACACATCCATAATTTTGGTTTAAACATCAGAAAGATACACCTTCTAACTCAATAAGATAAGGACATTTCCAAAGAGCAGGTAACCAATGAATGCCTTAACCTATAGGCCCCAGCTGCCCCCAAAGTCCAGCCTGATGAGAAAACACCCCCTAACAAAGGTGTCTGACGTCTTCAAAGCCTTTCTAATTGAGCCTCTCAGGAAAAAAACCTAGATAAGCACACACCTTTGCGCCTTCTTGCTGCTTACGTATACATCGACATCCTTCAGCTGTAAGTAGTGAGACAACCTCTAAATACATACTGGATCTGAATGACTGAAACCCTCAGAGAGCATCCTGACGTGCCCTCCACAGCCAGGTGTATTAAACTAAGACCCCCCTCGTAGTCTAGAGTATGTTCTATGTACATTCGTGTATACATATGTAAAAAGGCTGCAATCTGCTAGACATGCATTTTCAACACTGGCGAAAGCTGTGCTGCAATGGAACACACTGCGTTTTAGTGAGAGTGGTGGCCCCGTCCCCAAGCCACAGAAAGCAGGGCATTCTGCTCCACAGATGTCAATCCACCACCCTGCTCAGTGTGGATTTTTGTTCTGACTTCTGTGTTGATGCTCAGATTAAGCCAGCTGGGAGACATTAAAACTCTCTGCCAGGCCAGGCTGTCCACGGCTCTTTTTAGAATTTAAGGCTTAAGAAAGAACTCAGAATTAAGACTGAGTAAGAAAATGATACTTTTGACTACAGTATATGTCAAGATGGTCAGAAATTACCATTCCAAATCCTTTCCTTCTCTTTTCCTCCCATTCCCTATCCACACCCTCTGTCCCCCAACACACTGATTAAAAAATTTTGGAAAAGTAGACTTTTGGATATAAAGCTTTGTTTTCAAAGGATACTTTGGCTGTGATATAATTAGATCGAGGAAGCAGAGATTTTGAACATAAAAAAAAAATCAGGTAATTATTAATACTTGAAAAAAAATCATTTTAGCAATCTTTCCCCCTAAAAGGGAGGCAAATTGCTCACAAAAATGGGCATCAGATGGCACTGACTTTTGTTGCTCAAAACCATGATGTGCTGCTGACCTTGGCGCCCAGGGCATCAGGGCCAGTCCGACTTTCTACCCTAGAGCTGGACTGCTGAGCAGGAGTCACATGGTGCTTGGCAGCCTTCTTGGTGGCTGTGGACTATGGATGAGTACTTCTGAAAACATGAGCCCCAAACCACTAAGTATCTGTCAAAGCATTTACGGCCCAGGAGAATGGCTGAAGTCATAGTACATAACGTCACCACAAAGAGTGACGCACAGAGGGGTGTGCTAAGGGCCGCATCTCCTGTGAGGGTCTCTACATCCGTGTTTCTGGAACCTCTACAAATACAGCTTGGCACATGCGACTGCCCTGAAGTCCTCGTTTGATCTGAAACCTCTTGTTTGTGCATCAGGGTTTCCTTCACTCTCTAGAATTTAAGTGGCAGACCACAGAAATGGCAGAGGTCTCGTTAAATAGAGGTGTGAGGCAGATATTACAAGGCTGGCACTGTTAGTGACAGCCCAATTAGCCAACCAATACTGAGTGCCTACTGTGTGTAAGGTGCAGGGCCAGTGAAGGGGGGGCCAGGGTCAAAGGGATTTTCTGACAAATGACAAAGCTTTTCAGGAGGCGGGGCATCTACGTCCCCAGCACACGTGGGTCTGCTCACGCACCTCCACCATCACCTGTACCCCACAGCTATTGCAGGGCTACATCTCACACGTGGCAGTGTGGGGTTATAAGGTGACTACCAAAATATTTGTTATCCTACACTTCCAGTAGAACTGACTTAATGCTTTCTTGAATGCTGCAATACCTAGTTTTTCTTTAATTCTTTTTATGATCTAGTTTTTTCAGCCCAGTAGTTGCCCTAAAAGAAGGTCTCTGTATACACATGCTGAATCAGGAGAATATAATCCTCCTGACCAAAGATATTTACAGTATTTATCATTCAAACTTTTTTATTTACAATAAAACTTAAAAGTCTCTATGGGCTTAAATGTAGCAGATATCACCTGTGCATTAAGCATTATACTTCATCCTCACTCAAGCTGCTTGCCACCCTCCGATTTCTGATCCAGTCTACTCTTGTTACTCTTCACCATGTAGATGAAGTAGGCGAGGGTCTCTTTTTCATTCACAGGTATGTTCCTGAAGTGTCGACTGACAGTCTACATGGGGGAAAAAACAAAACAACATGCATAAATCAGGGCCACAGACTCTAAATTGTACAAAAGAGGAACTAGGAGTTGTTGCCAGAGCCATGCAGGGGTTATGACCACTGCTGAAGTCCCTGCAGTGCTACCGAGCTCAGACTGCCTTGCAGTCCCTGGGGTCTAGGCGAACTGCTTTCCAGGCTTCCAAAAATGGGACTTTCACCCACAACACCGCCAAGGTGCAGTTCTAGTTCAGTGGTAGCCAGCTGTCCATCATGGCATGATCTCAAGGTCATCCCCATGAAGGAAGAGACTGGTTAGCCAGCTGATACCACAACCTCTCAGGCCCTAGAACTGGGCAAAAAAGTGTCTTTTTAAAATTATGTCAGATGGACAGCCAATCGAACTGATGTAAGTAGGTGACCCAAGAATTCATCTTGAAAGACATCAGATTTGAAGACAATGTCACCATTTACTCTATATTCCTAACACTTTGCTTCATCCTACAGGTCCTAAGAATAAACGTCTCCTCTTGCCCCGTCTCATACTATCCCTTCCACCAGGGATGAATACTGGCAAATGGGTAATGTAATCTTAAAGTGGGAAAGGCTTACGTATGCCTAAGTTTTAACTGGATGCTGGCGAAGGAGAGGTTTAGAAAACATGAGAGATCAGCGAGAAATCTCTAATGGAAAAGACCAAAAACCAGTAGGGTTGTGAGCCTTGAAGGAATTCTCTGGATGGACCGAGTGACTAGGACAGATAAAAAGAGTCAGAAAACTGGAACTACAGAGTGTTTATCTCTGGATGGTAGGATTGTATTTTTCTTTTCTCCATTTCCCAAATTTTCTACAATAGGCAGAAAAACATGTTAAGAAAAGGAGGATGAGAGGGCACCCACATAAATGCCAACAGGACAGAAGTATCCAGCCAGGTGGTAAGTATATTAAAATAATGGCGAAGGGAACAATTCCCCACCTCCAAACTGTGTTAAGAATTCAGGGCAGGAGAAAACTGTCTGGGCTCCATTCATTATAATAAATACCTCCATTACCAACATGACAGTAGAAGAAATCAAGGGAAAAACACCAAAGAAAGAAAAGTATCTCCTACAAAACATGAGCAAAAGTTTTTGGGATGATTAATCTGACACATCTGTTATGCGGAAACGACCATATCTATAAAGAATCTTGCAAAACAAGATTTAAATAAATGAACAAACAAAAGAGTCTAATGGAGTCCTGAAATTCCAGGCTCAATTCTGCTAGCAACGTGCTGTGTGGTGTTAAGTCTTTTCCTCTCTCTGTGCTATGGTTTATTTGATGGAAACAGAGCCTTTCCAGGTATAAAGCTGTGGGATTCTCCACTGAGCAACAGAGGAAACAGAAAGGTGCTTCCAGAGCTATGAAGGGGATTGTGATCAACAGGCACACACAGCAATAGGGAGAATCAAGGTCACCATTAGAAGCACAATGCTGGCTCACTGTTTAGAACACAGTTTCATCTACCTACTTCTGCTAACTGGGCCTTATTGAAGCCTGGTCTGGTCTGCAATTTGTAGTGTCGTTTATAGCGTCGTAGAGTGTTCACCTGCAGCTGGAACAGATCAACCTGTAGAGAAGAGGAGAAACATATTATACATCAGCTGAGCAGCCATGACTCACCGAGAGCCCACTATGTGCCTGGCACTACACTAGGTAGGGGTGGGGATGGAGTGGGCTACAAAGAAGTCTTAGAAATGGTCCATTGAGGACTAATAACTGGCTGGGAGGACAAAAATCACAGTGGACAAAGAGTTCTGGCTGGGGAGGGGTGGTCCCAGAAGGCTAATGGAGGCAGTGAAGCTTAGGCTAAGGAGAGGAAGGGTTTAGAAAGGGTTAAGGCAGGGTTGAGGAACAGAGCGAGGATAGGCAATAAGGGAGAAGATCTAAGCAAAGAAAGCAAGGAGATGAATAGATGGGCTAGGGGGTCAGAGATAATCCTGATGGGGGTCACAGGTGAGACTGGATGGTAGCATATCTGGAAGAGCAGAAGGAGCTGTCACAGATGGTGGAAGGTAAGGTTCCAGGAAAATGCAGAGACGACTGATGGGGAGGAAGGCAGGAAGGATATGCTGTAGCGATGAGCCAGAAGTGACGTGATGAAGTGGAGCTTTGGAGGGGCGAGGGTGATGCTGCTGAAGGGAAAACCAGACACGTCCTGGAGGAAGATGGGCCAGAGTCTGGCAGCAGACTGGAGAGAGGGGTGTGAAGCACAGTGGGAAGTACTGCTGTTCTCAAACAGTTCTTTCCTAGGCTCAGCCTTAGGGATGAGAATCCTTAACAACCCTCCAGGGAATGCTCAAAAGCTACTGTGGCGAGTGTACAACTCAGGTTAGGGGCAGGGTCTCTGCGGGTGACCGGATAGCAGAGGGAAAAGGACCCTCCCTTTTGCTTCTAACACAGGAAGAGAGGAAAGCTGCACAGTCATGAAACAGTGAAGGCCCAGAAAGTTGGGCTGCTTTTACCTGCCTCTAAAAGAGATGTTCTTGCTTCAGGCAGGTGGAGAGCACTTAAAAACAAAATGAATGATCAATATGAGGGACCAAAGTCCTTCATTCTTTTCAAAACATTCCTCAAACCTTTTCCTTTCTCTCTTTTTTTTTTTTTGGGGGGGGGAACGCATTTAGAAATTGAATACATACATTTCTTAATAAGATAATAACGCTGAAGGCAATACAAAGATACGTTAAACCAAAGCTAGAAAAGGGGACACATGGTGGGGGTGGGGGGGGCGCAGTGGGAAAGCACCTATTTGCAAAGGTTTCCTCCACAATTGCAGACAAAGGCCCGCCTACTCTTTCTCTTCCTACAGTCATTTTCACTTTGAGTGCTAACAGGCAGGCAGTTGCCCTAAGAAATATTCATGTGCAAAGATTCAATGTATATTATAAACAGTTCTTCTTTGCTGAGTCTTAAGTGAAAACCATTTAAATAGAAAGAAAATCCAATGTTCCTTCCTGGACCTTGCTGAATAGACTCCGGCACCTTGAAGGAAAGGCAGCCTTCTAGTTTGAGTCTAGGTCTCATCGCCTAGTTCTCAACATGGGACAATTTTGCCCCCCAGAGGACATTTGGCAATGTCTGGAGACATTTTTTTGATTGTCACAACTCGGGTGGTGTGACTGGCACCTAGTGGGTAGAATCCAGGGATGCTGCTAAACATTCTACAGTGCACAGGACAATAGACATTACTCAACGTTATCTGGCCCCAAAGGCCAGTAGTGCCAGGGTTGAGAACTCCTGGACCAGTTAAACTGACTTTGGAATGGATCCTTGGGAACAAGCCTGAACCAGAAATGAGAGAGTGATAGGAAATCAGAGCTGGTGTGAACTGACAACTTATACCTTCATTGTGCAGACAGGAAACAGGGGAAGTGGCTTCCCCCAAACCATACAAACTCAGTTGCAAACTTTAAAGATAAAAACAAAGTTTCAAACAAGTTGACACTGTGATTGTATTTAAGTATTTGTTAGGGTTATCTTGAAGAAAGGCAGTGTGTACTAGTAAAGAGGGAACTGGACTGGAGCCCCCAAACCGTACATGTGACCTTGGGTCTCTGTGCCTGTCTGTACAATGATGGGGCAGTCAGACCAGTTGATTTCTAAGCTTTCAGCTCTCAGAGTTGGTATTACTCTGATTCTGTAATTCACTTTTCAAATACACCACAGCAAGACAAAGGGACTAAAATTGCTTCCTAGCACAAAAAGCAGGCCAGAGAGAAGGATCAGATTCGAATCTGTTCCTCTAGCTTTCTTAAGCTGAGTTTTTTGACCGTTACCTCAGGAATGTCAGTGTCGTGCTCAGGAGAATCTCCACCGTCGTCACTTGTCTTCCTCTTCCTTTTATTTCGTACACTCTGGATGAAATTTTTGTGGAAATCACAGATATACAGGTGCCTGACCTGATGGGAAGCAAATTAAAGTCAGAGCTGTCAATTCCATGGACACAGCTACAGGCATCTGTCAAATGAATGGGCCCCTCTCCTTTACAAGGTCTTGGGGAGACAGAGGGGAGAACAAGGGGCGGCCATAATCTCCAGAGGTTGGCCACTGAGTTGCAGAGCAAGACACCCACAGCGCACTGAACACCAGGTCCCCACTGGGTTCAGCAAGGAGATCCCGCCGGTGGAGGCAGGGTAGAGGCCGCCGCCTAGAAGGGAGGATTTGCAGGTAGACAGGAAGCATTTCCGAGGGAAAGACGAGCCGAGACTTAAGAGTTTCAGACGAGGATGGCAGGTGTGAGTGAGGAGGTGGCCCAGGGTGGGCAGTGCCAGGTGGAGGTGACTAACCAGGTAGGAGCACAAGGAGAGATCTGGGTGGCGGTAGGGGGTGGGGTCCGTATCAGCACAGCTTTGACTGTGACTTTCCTTTAGATAAGACAGAGCCCCCCAAGGCTTCTGAAGCAAGGAGTCACATGGCATTTTCAGACATGTAGGATTTATAAACTTACAAGGAATGCCTTGCCCCAGGGAGGGGAAAAGCAGGCAGCGGACTGCGGTAATGATATTCAGGACACACTATTTTAAAATTGGTAACAGGTAGTATTGTAGGATGACAACTCTCTGAAATACTTTATTTCTGTGTATTGAGTTTTAATTCTTGCTCACATCTGATGCACAAAGAGAAGTGAAGAGAGACACAGACGTTCTCACACGGCGGAACCACATAGAAGCGCCTGGATACTAGGGCTGATTTTCTAATCTAGGTTGGAGGCAGCAGAGTAAGTGGAGGCAGCTGAGATGTGAGGAATGTGTTTTTATTTAAGAATGTAGGTATCAGGGTTGGCTGGAGGAGCCATTTGAACACCTACCAGAAACCGAACGTCTGTGTAAATGACTTGGGGCTGTTGACACTGAAACAGATGTTGCACCTCTGTTCTCAAGAGGCTTCTGAATTCGAGTTTATTCCTTGAATTCTTAAAGATAAAAGCAGGCTGACAGGAAACCAGCATCAATTATTTCAGGCTTTTTCATGGAGAAAGTAATGAAAGCTGCTTTTCATTCAGATGAATTATCACTCTCATGTGGCTGGATTAGTGAGTTCTGAGTACTTTTTACACCATGGTGCTGGTGTCTTACAGACAGCAGGTACTAGGTAAATGCTGTGGTGTCCACATAGGCATGCCTTGCATCTAAAAGCAGCTTAGGCCAGTAAAAGTCACAATTTGCATATGTTACAAATTGGGACAGCTTTGTCAGATTCAACTGTTTAAAGGCCTTTCAGACATAGCACATGTCACTGTCTCAAAATATCCCACCTAATATTATATATATATATATATCTATCTATCTATCTATCTATCTATCTATCTATCTATCTATCTATATATATATATCTCGACATGCTTTTATCAGGGAAGACAGCACACTCACAGCATATGCTATTTCCCTAATAGGAAGCTGGCCCTCATGTTAGCCAGTTCCACATGTCAATTCGGAGAGATTCAACTGCTCCTCAAATTCATAGTGACAAACTTGGTACAACAGGCAGAAGAGGTGATTTCCTAAAGCTGGGAGAGTTCAGGTCAGGACATTGGAATGATGGAATTCTAAACGGAAGAGAATGTAGCAACGACCAGTGCAAGCTCACTGGCCCCAATCTCATTTTCTAGAAGGATTAAACTGAAGCCACCCAGAGTAGGGAAATAACCTGGCCAAAGTCACCCAGGCCTCCTAACCCCTGGCATATGTCCTTTCCTACCTCGACATTTTCCTCCTATTATTCTCAACTTCCACTTTTCTCCAGAAAAAAGCCGAAATATGTCAATTGGAGGGGCGTTGGCAAGCATGTTATCTTAATAAATCACAGAACACTGCCAATGTCTACATGAGTTAAACTGCCTGAGTTGGATTTTTGGTGCTATTATTGAAAAAGGTTCTCTGCTAGACCCTCTTACAAGATAAATACTCATTATTTCTATTTAACCATTTTCAAGTACATCCTGGTTTTCAGAGCTCAATGGCCTTTGGGAGGGGTAGAGGAAGAAGGGTGGTGGTAGCAAAGGCTCTAGTGTTTATTTTTCCTGTTTCATTTTCTACAACAGCTAAAAATTCTTGTAACACAGAATTTACTTAGAATTGAATTCCTGCCCAAGCCTGTGAGAGTGAAATAGAATCTCTCTCAGAAAAAATGACTCTACACCACCACCTTGAAACAAACTGTGAGTGATTCCACCTCGAAACCCTACTCCTTCAGAAGAGTTACCTTTGGGGAACTCTGGTGCCAGGCTTAGGCTGTCTCTCTTCTAGACAGTGTGTGTGCGCAACAATCAACACAGCTCAACACAGGTTTCCCAGTGGGGTCACTAGGTAAATGGGGCCCCAACTGCAGCAGCACAGTCGTTGAGATGTGATGGCATCCAAGAGTTTAGAAGACCTGTCAATTTCTTTTTTCTAAAGGACTGAATAATGTTATTATCAGCTGCTCAAGTAAAGGCTCCCAACAACTTACACAGAACATAGGCAATGTTTTTAAGAGGATGAACTCACGGCTGTCTTAGAATTATGCATTTCACTTCAACGTATGCCCCATCTGGACTACCTTATTGTCTAGCCAGTTTGCTTTCAGATGAATTTCATGCATTCATTCATTGATAGAGGTTTGTAGTAAGAGAGCCATTAACTCACCCCCAACCCTTTAAAAATAGCATCTTTCCATTCAAGAGTTGCAAATGTATTATAATCAACTTAAAAACATATTTGGGTTGGGAGGGAAGAGCCTGGAAGAAAGGGCAAGGAAGATTTTTTATTTATTAAAAACTTAATTAAGGCTTATGTATGGGGCTTGGAAATTAGATAACGGGTTTAAGAAATTAACCAGACTTTTAGGTGCTGTGTGACTTTGACACCGTCACTTCTTATCTCTGGGCTTCAGTTTCTCATAAGTGGAAAAGCAGGGACTCCTTTCAGTTTAACAAGCAATCTCTGATTTCCCCCAACGGTGAAGTTTTGTTTCTAACAGAGAATGGATGTTAACCACCTAAGCTCTCAGCTGGTCTATCTGAATATTAAATACCCCCTTAATTCATTTCCAGTTCCTAGTTGTGAGGCAGGCACTTAATGAGGCTTGCTGCGACGGATGTCAAACTAAAAAGTTCTTAATTGACTGACAATAGGCACATCTTTAGAACTGTTAACTACAAGAGATGAAAGGAAACACAGGAAAAGTTGTCCTGTAGGGAGGCACAAAACACAGGGCAAGTCTATTCAAATTTAACCGCCCGTCCTCCCAGGCAGCTCTACGGAAGCTACCCCTTCCAGTTACTTCGACTGCAAGAACCACCTCCCAAGACCTGGTCTTGGCCTTATTTCTGCCACATCCTTGAAAATCCCGTTTCTTCACAGCTGCTTGCGAAGCAGGGAGCTCGGGGACCCTCTGCAGAAGCCGAGGCCGCGGGCAGGCGGGGAAGTGTAACTGCCACCTTTCCTTTTCGGAAGGAATAACAGGGTTCCGTGGAGGAGAAGTTGGAGAAGAATCGGGTTCCTGCACCACCGCTCCCCAATACTCGCTCCTTCGTAGGCCAACACAACGAATCCCCTTCTCCCTGCTCTCACATCTAAACCAATAAAACGAGCTAAAAACTGTTGTCAATATTCCCAGGCAGGAAGGATCCTCGGAGCCCCCTACCCAAACCTCCCCGATCTGGGCAGAATCCTAGTGAGAACATGTCAGCGCTCTTAGAAGCGGCCTTAGAAATCCCGAGTCCGACTACTCAGTTAGCAGATAAAGGGTGGCGAGGCCCAGGGCGGGGAGGGCCCCGGAGTCCCGCCCGTAGTCCGGGGGCAGCCGCAGGGAGCCCGGTGGGGGCCCAGCTGGGGGCGGGGGCACTCACGCTCTTGTCGATGTCCAGCTTGAGTTTCTTCTGTGAGATGCTCTTCTGGACCCTCTTGCTGAAGGAGGCGTTGCCCGCGGGCCGGACGCAGCGCTCGCCGTCCTCGATGAGGCAGCAGCTCTGGCCGTAGCCCGGGGCAGCGGCCGGGGCGGCAGGGGGCCCTTCGCGGCTGTCCTCCTCTGTGCTAAAGCCGTTCATCTCCCCGCCCCGGGCCAGTCCCTCGGGAAGAGGTCACCTGTAGGCCACTCCGCGGCCGCACTCGCTGCGGGGCAGGTTGCTGACACCCCCGGACCCGAGGGTCTCAGAGTCCGTCTCCAGACAAGGCACTGCAGTGCCCCGCGCCCGGGGGGGCCCCACTCCTCTCCGCCACGCTCCGGCTCCTTCGGCCCCGGCCCCGCGTCTCTGGAGAGCCCCTTCCTCCCCGCTCGAGGCCCCGGGGTTGGCTCCTGCGGCTCGCAGGGCCCCGCCGGGGGTCACCCGAAGGCGCCTTCTGCCGGGGGCCCAGAACCGTTACCCTTGGACAGGGGCGTCCGGGAGGGCGTCCCAGGAAGCGGCCGCTCCCCGGAGACTTCGGGCCCGGGTTGCCAGTGGGTTTTGAGGGCCCCCGCTGGCTCCCGCCTTCTTTCGGCTGCTGGGCAAACTCGCCGCTGGGCAGCTCCCTCGGGGTGGCGCGGCCTCCCTGCGCGGGGCCCGGTCTCGAACCCGCGGCGTCCGGGCCCCGCGGCGTGTCCGGCCCGCCCCACCCCTGCAGCCCCCCGGCTGCGCCCCGAGTCCCGCGGCAGCCCCTGGGCCGCCCGGCCGCCACCCGCCCAATGCTCCGCACCACAACAGTTCGCTCCCCCCGCCCTCCGCGGGACAGCGGAAGTCCCGCCTCCGTGCACCTATTGGCCTCATTTGCTCTCTGGGCGGGATCGCCGCCGCCGCTGGCGCTCCTCATTGGGCTCCATCGCCGCCATTCCCGGGCGCCTGGCTACTTCCTGGACTCTGCTGGGATGGGTTCAAAGTAGAGAAAGTGGAAGAGGGAAGAGTTCCCAGGTTGAAGGAAGGGAACGGGGTTGCACTCTCCCAGCCCGGGGAGAGATGGTGACCTGGGGCCTGGCTGGAAGGAAGGCCAGACTCCGGGAACAGAGGATTGTATTCGGGACAGACAGAAGTACAGACGTGGGCGGCGGCGCAGAGCGACGGACATGGGGAGGGACAAATGGGTGGGGTGGAG